TTCCCCCCCCGCCCCCCCCCCCATGTCTCTGTGACTATGGGTCTCCTCCTCCTCTTCTGTCTTCTTTCCGTTTCGGACGTTTTGTGGTTGGATTGGCTTTGTTTTAAACACAGGCACTAAGTCTGTGTAAAAGCCTATTTTCAGGCGGGCATCTGGCTTATCCCAAGGACTTAGTGAGAGACAGTCCTCGCATCGGACCAGGTGTGGCATGGTCCCTGCTCTAATGAGAAGTTTCCCTGTGGGGCAGAAGCCAGCAGGTGCTGCACAGGGAGAGCCATGCAGCCTAACAGGCCTCGGCAGGCCACCTTGGGCTTCTGTCAAGAAAGGGCTTCCAGGTGACCACAGGCCGCACCCCCCATTGTGCCCCCACTGGCAGTGATGGTGTTCTTTCTCTTTTGGATGCAGTTTCTGATCCGCCTCATACACAAGGAGCTGAGTTGTCCAGGGCCAGCGGCAGGGAACCAGGCTCCGTAAGTCCACGGCCAGCCTCTCTGGAGTTAAGCGAGCTCCTGGGTGGCCTTTCGCTGCCTAGGCCCCTGTCCTCAGTGACAGGAAGGAAAGGACTCACCAGTGTCCCTGGAGTGGCAGGGTGCAGTTGCTTTCCTTTCTAATTAAGTGCCTCTGTGTGGGGTGATTGTGCTTATCTCCCCCAAGAACCCCAGGAAGAGAATGTGAGGAAATGGACACTTTCGTGGAGTTGTTTGAGCTGCAACTTTGCAGCCAAGGCAGTTTCTCCCACTGTGCTCCTCCCCTCCTTCCTCGACGCCATGGGAAGGGCACGCAGCTCCCCCTCCAGCCAGCTCCCGAAGCAAGCCATTCCCCGGGAGGGGAATGGGCTGGCCCTGGTGGGGGCCGTGCATTTTGTGTATGTTCAGCGTCCTCTGTAGGACCCATTCTCTCCTTGTCCTTTACTTGTAGACTGAAGGAGCACTGACTGCCAAGTCCTCTGGAGTGCCAGGGCCTGTCCTTACTGTCGAGAAGCTGAAATAAAGGATCCTGTTGTGAAAAGAAAGATTTGCCTTTGCCTTTTGCACACGTGCCTGGAAATGACTCAGAAGCTGCCCTAAGATTTGCTGGATAGATAAAAGTGGAGTCTGCATGCCAGTGGAATCTGCATGCCAGTGGGGTCTGCATGCCAGTGGGGTCTGCATGGCTGGGCCCCACTGTCTTAATGGAACCCATGGCCCAACGGCCCATCCAGCCCCAGCTTCTGAAATCTAGTGTGCGTGTGACATAGGGCTAGCCTGTGATACCCAGGCAGCCAACCCCTCTCAGGTATCCAGTGAGGAATGTTATACAGCCTGTGAGCTCGAACCATCCTGCACTATCAATTCCCGAACGTGCCTGATGAAAAGACAGAACACGTCACATGAGCGCCCTGGTGGCTAAGCGTCAGTCTCTGAGCACATGAAAAAGCACCGCCATAGTGGGAAACCTAGATGGAACCCGCACCCACCAGTCACAAAGACCCAGGCTCCGTACCAGCTAGGAAACCTGTTCTGTCAAGACATGAATGGCTACGAAGCAATAAGCCCCAGCAGGACCTGGACGCCAGGAAAGCCAGTCCCAGGGCACCCAGGCATGTGCTGCTGGTCCCCTGCAGGGCGGAGGGGCCACAGAGGCTGGGAAGCAGGCACCACGAACAGTGGGTCTCACCAGCCATGCCACTCACCCCACGGTAGGCACAGACATCTGGGCTGTTTCTAGATTTACAGGGATTATTTATTTAAAATGTATAGTGTGTTATATAGATTTTAAGAACTACAAATGGCGTTTTGTTATTTATTAAGGCAAACTATGATTGTTCTGTGGCCATTCACTGTCTGAGTTCTATCTGCCCTTTGAAATAAAATGGGTTTTTCTTAGAAAAAACTCTCAAGCGTAACACGAAATATTAATTCCGCTCATGTCTCCATTCTACCAGCAGACTTCCAAACAGACCATGTGGCTTTGGTTTTCTTGGCATTAGAGATTGTATTAGTTGTTTTACATGTTGCTAGAACAAAATACCAGATAAACGTAACATAAGGAGAGTCTGGAGAGATGGCTCAGCAGTTAAGAGCACTGGCTGCTTTTACAGAGGACATGGTGGCTAACCACCATCTGTAACTCCAGCTCCAGGGAATCAGACGCCCTCTTCTGGCCATTGTGAGCATTGCATGCATGGTATACTTCCATACTTGACAGCAAAACATATATAATATTAAAATTTAATTAATTACATAAATAATTATATATTATATAA